GGGAGAGTTTGTTATCAGTGTGGCTGAACTATTGCGCTCTAAGCTTCCAAATCCTGTAGATAATCAATCAGTAGACTACCTGGACCTCTTAAAGGGGGATAGGAAGAAATTCTGAGGGTGGGAGCCACCCTCCTTCCTTCTCCTTCCAAGAGATAGGCCTTTCTGTTTTTTAAGTTCATGAGACTACACTGATAGTCTCTTCCATGTCTACACAGGCTGGAATAACTCACAGGATCAGATAAATTTTATATGCAACAAAACACACACACAAGGATTCTCATCATTTATCTCATGGAAAGAACCTAGACATGAGCCAGGTCCTTCACGGAGACCCTTTGCCTTTGTGCAGGAAGGCCTTGATGGTTAAGTAAAATCTTAGGAGAAGCTGTTTTTGGCAAGAGGCTTTGTTTTAATGAAGAAGAGATAGCCACACATGGTTGGTATAGAGTAACTCCTTTGGACTCTCCTATATTATCTATATAATCCTCTCCTTTCATACATGCTCTCTGAACATTGAAGAGGAGTGTTAGAATGGAATTGTCGTAGATGCTGCTATGTTTGCAAAAGGACAATTCTTTTTTTTGTTGGTTCCTATGGGTGCCCTGTTATCATCCTGCCCCATGAAGCATGGTGTGGATCTATAGTTCTGTGCTAAACTAAAGTGCTCAGTTGGAACCAGCTCAGCATTTGCCTGTTTACTGCTTCTCTACACATTACGGCTTCCTTACTTCAAATAGTGTTTGAACAGACTAAAAACATGTTTTTGGCTGCCATCCAGAGTTTGGCTTCCGCTTCCCCAGTAATGCCGTAAAAATGCTCTGTCAAATAAATTCTTGGGAATTGAAAAGAACAAATTCTGTGCTCCATATGATTGTAGATAATAGAAACAGGCTTCAGCTGACCACCTGGCTTGATGCCCATGGACTAGGAAAACCGAATCACACAGCATCCCTTGGCAATGCTTTATAGCTATCAGAGTTAATTCTGTGCGTGTGATGGATGAGCTTTACATTTAAAGAAATCTGCACATAGCATTTATCTGGGTCTTTTGGGTTCCCTAAAATATTACCTTTGCTTCTCCTGCACTGTTGCCAATTAGTATCTATTACAAAGTTTTTGAACCTAGGATTAATTTTCTTTTGAGTAAATTTCACGTTGTTAACCATGAACAGAATCCTTCTATGATTTGGGGGTGGGTGTGTGTGTGTTTCCTGCCCCAATGTTTCCTGGATATTGTAGCATCCTTATTATTCAGGATCCCAGCTGGAAAGAGATGGCACATTCAAATTAAGGTAATTTAGGGTTTATTTATAATTAGGGACCATTCACAAAAGTGTGAGTTGGGGGAAGGGAACACAAGTAATGGTATGTAACCTAGTGGAGCTCTGCTAGCCCTGGACCAGAAGGGAGGGAAGGAAAGAACCTAGAGACAAAGAGTGTCATATAGAGACGGCTGCCTTCGGGATGGCCTGCACAGAGAGACATGGTCTGGCAGTCCAGAGCCACTCATCTCTTCCCTCCCTCTAACCTCCTGTCAGGGGTCCGCCTTGGGTGAACCCAGTCAGAAGCCAGAAGGTGCAGAGTCCTGTGATTTGGTTCCCAAAGGTCAGCTTCCCAGGGCAGAGAGCAGGACGGAAGGCAGAATGTGGATTTGGAAGGCAAGTGGAAGGCATCCGGCACTTACCTCAGTGGAGGTGTCCAGTGATTTCTAGGAAAGGCATAGAAATCTTTTTTTTTTAAATATTTTTATTTATTTGAGAGAGAGAGAACATGAGTGGGGTGGGGGGTGGTGAGCAGAGGGAGAGGGAGAAACAGACTCCCCACTGAGCAGGGACCCCCAACGTGAAATGGGGCTTGATCCCAGGACCCTGAGATCATGAGCTGAGCCTCAGGCAGACACTTCACTTGCTGAGCCACCCAGGTACCCCAAAGGCATAGAAATCTTAGTAGAAATCTTTTTTTAAAAAAAGATTTTATTTATTTATTCATTTGAGAGAGCGAGAATGAGAGAGAGGAGAGAGAGCACATGAGGGGGGGGAGGGTCAGAGGGAGAAGCAGACTCCCCGCCGAGCAGGGAGCCCGATGTGGGACTCGATCCAGGGACTCCAGGATCATGACCTGAGCCGAAGGCAGTCGCTTAACCAACTGAGCCACCCAGGCGCCCCCTTAGTAGAAATCTTAAACTCATTTTTATTTTTAAAAAGTATATTGGTGTATGGTTGACATGTAATAAACTGCACATATTTAAAGTATACAGTTTGATAAGTTTTGATATGTATATACCTGTGAAACCACCACAATCAAGATAGTGAGTTATCCATCACCTTCAAAATAATCCCATTTTAATTTCACATTTAAGTTATTTTATATGGTTCTTTTAAAAGGATATGGAAAGATAGAAGGAAATGAAGCAATGTCAAGTGCAACTCCAAAGTGGTGGTTCTGGAAAGATCCACAAAAAATGAAATTCAAGGCAATGTCAAAGTTTATGAGAAAGCTATTCAATAGTAGCTTATAATAAATTAGAAAAAAAAGATTGTAAGTGTGAATTTTTTGGGGGGCTTCTCCTTTGTATCTGTTTATTGCCATGTATTTTTTTTATAAGATTTTATTTATTTATTTGACAGACACAGCGAGAGCAGGAGCACAAGCAGCGGGAGTGGGAGAGGGAGAAGCAGGCTTCCTGCTGAGCAGGGAGCCCGATGTGGGACTCCATCCCAGGACCCTGGGATCATGACCTGAGCCGAAGGCAGCTGCTTAACCAACTGAGCCACCCAGGCGCCCTATTGCCATGTATTTAAAACACAGTTAAAATCTGTGAATCTGGTCTGTGTAAGTTAGTATTTGAAATGAGAAACCCAGAGATTAATCAGTATTCCATCATGCCAGGGGATCCATGGACGAGTGGTTGAGTGTACATGTTATCTGGTGTTCTTAGGCACCACAGCATACTCCTGGGGCAGCTCCAGGCTTCGGGGCATGTTCTCTATGATGCCATGCCGTCTCTCAAGAAAGCAAAGTGCAGCGTAGTGGGGGAAGGCATAACAACATAGCAATGGTGTTAATAACAGAGCTTACGATTATTACTGTGGCACTGTTGAATGTTGAGTATGTCTTTGGTGATAGAGCTGAGTTGGGATCTAATTCCCCGAGCTTAATGCATTCTGCCTCTGATTGTAGAAGCCAGCAAAACATCTGCAAACACACTTTTGCCATTTCTTAATAACTGCTTACAACCCACCTGACAGCTGACGGAGGCCAGGGAGTTAGCGTTTGTGTGGAGAACTGGTACTCTCAACCTTCTGTGTCTCCAGAGCCCCATTTATTCCAGGGACATCGGGAGTACCTAGCCCTTTCTAGAGAGGGCTTGTGTCCAGTGCAGAGTTGAATATGAGACCCTAGTCCCACTTCATGCAAAGGAAAGTACCTCCCTGGCTAAGCCAGGACGAGGAGAAGAGGTGTGAGGTTTGCGGGAAGGGAGTGGTGGGCAGCCTAGGATGGAAGCCCCCGGGGACTCTGCTCTGGTTGGACCCCAGCAGGGCTGGCATGCCACCCACCAGCACAGGAGCTGCGACAGGACCATACTGGCCTCCCTCCTGGCCTTCAGACTCATCCAGCAAGTTCAGGGCCCAGGGCCTTTGTACTTTTTATTTCTTATGCCTCAATTATTCTTGCCTTGTATTTTTGCAAGGCTCTCTTACTCTCTCACTTGATTCATATTACTGTTGAAATAGCTCCCCCTCAGATTTCTTTTGCCACCCTATCAAAGAATCACCTCTGTCACCATCTCCCTGTCCTACTTTATTTCCCTCATTGCAGGGCCCACTACTGGATATTATAACATCAGTTCTCAAACTTTTTGGTCTTAGGTACCCCAAAGAGCTTATGTTTCTGTGGGTTACACCTTTCAAAATTCACCATGTCAGAAATTAAAATAGAAATCTAAAAATACTTTTGTTCGTTGAAAAATAGCAGTAATAATCCCATTGCATGTTAACATAAATAACTTATGAAAAATAACTATATTATCCAAAATAAGAGAATTACATGAGAAGAGTAATACTGTTTTGTATTTTTGTATGTGTCCTCAATTTTTTTTTATGAACATATAATGTATTATTTGTGTCAGGGGTACGGGTCTGTGATTCATCAGTCTTACACAATGCACAGCGCTCACCATAGCATGTATGTGTTTTCTATTAATAGAAGATAGCTAGGTTGTTATAATCTGTTGTAATATATTGTTTTGGTAAAAGTTGATGTAGAACATCTAGCCTCACACAGATAGGTGGTTGGAAAAGGAAGGGTTATTTTAACAGCCTTTTCATGTAATTGTAGATATTCTATTTTAATATCACACGAAAACTCAACAAGGGATCATTTCTTAAAGGCTAATTGTTGTGTGGTCCTTGCGCCCTGGGCATACTTGTGTGAACCACTCCCAACATGTGGGTCAGATGGCTGCTTTTTTTTTCCTTAAGAAAAAGTTGGTCACTGACTTTTAAATTATGGTCTCCATAAAGTGGAATAAAAAAAATAAGTCATTACTTTCATTGTATTTTTGAATAACCCTTAAAAAAATCACCAAATCTTGAAAGATTACAGAAGCCCCTTCCAAACCAAACACTAATTTCTCATGTGTACAAAAATTGGAACACTTTTTCCTTGATAGATCCACACTTCATGTTACCGTTACTTTTTTGAGGTAGGAGGTGAAATCCTAAGTTAATGGTTTCTAACATAATTCCTTGATAAATATTTGTTAAAATATCTAATGTTTATTAGAGTGCTTTTATTCATTTTTTCCAATCTGTTTATGGCCATTACCTTATTTGAATAACTGAGTAAAGTGCCATTCAGAAATATCCTTAAGCTGGTACAGGAATAGAGTTGAACAGTCAAATCTGCAGATGTATCCAATAAATTAAGCAACCACTTTATCTGCTTGTTCAGGATGTTTCAACACCATCAACCTAAAATTTCATGTTTGTCTCTTTAAGATCCACACAGGCTTACAACACCAAATAATCTGGCCCTGTCAGCCCAGCTGTGTCCCTCTGGATGAAAAACTGCTGCCCCAGCTTCTAAAAGAAGCAGGCTACACTACCCATATGGTCGGAAAATGGCACCTGGGAATGTACCGGAAAGAATGCCTTCCAACCCGCCGAGGATTTGATACTTACTTTGGTAATGGAAATGCACATGTTTCTTTTACAGCTTAGACTAGCTGCAACCATCGCATAAAAATACACCCAAGTGTAATCAAATGAAATGACTGGAAACTTGAACACAGAATGAATCCGTCAGCACTGCCGCGGGGCAACTTTCTACTACCACCTCGTCCACGTGGCTCGGTGCTCAGTTCATGGTGGGCAGTTGCCCACAGGGAGGCGCGTACCGTTGCCAGGGTATTAAATGCCGTGTTGGGGCCTTTGTACTCTTAGAGAACCTTACGACCACAAGGGGATACAGCTTGCTTCTTAAAATAATTCCAGACAAAATCCAATACAAGAGTATTTCCTTCACAAAGGTTCAGAATATTTTTTTCTCTCCGTGGACTGTCCCAAAGGTTTTTTTTTTTTTTTTTTTTTTTCTGGAGATGGTAGAGGAGACTCTTTTCCATTGGTGTCCTTCCCCCCTTCTGTGAGATCTGTTTTTGAAATCACTAGATTGGGGAAGACCAATCAAAAGAATAAAATGGAAGGGTAAATAACAAATGGTAATAGGAAGGATAATAAGAAATAAGAAGTATTTTGTGGATTTGATAGCCCTATAAAAATGTGAAACCTTAGGTTAGTTTTTTAACTTACCCTCTTTTAACCTGTTAACAAACTGTCCTAACTAACAGCCTATTTATCTTACTAGTGGCTGTGTGTCTTTCTGATGAGCTCTTTTCATACTGCGCTTTCTATCTGGCTGTTTAGCTACCTGTTTACCTCTCATTTGTCTCTTCATTTATTTACAACCTGCCACATCCAAAAAGGAACACAGGCTGAACATGAAAAGTTTAAAATAGAGGGTGCCTGGGTGGCCCAGTCGTTAAGCGTCTGCCTTTGGCTCAGGTCATGGTCCCAGGGTCCTGGGACTGAGCCCCGCATCGGGCTCCCTGTTCCACGGGAAGCCTGCTTCTCCCTCTCCCACTCCCCCTGCCTGTACTCTTTCTCTAGCTGTGTCTCTCTCTGTCAAATGAATACATAAAAATCTTTATATAAAAAAAAAAAATGTCTGCCTTTGGCTCAGGTCATGATCTCAGGATCCTGGGATCGAGCCCCGCCTCAGGCTCCCTGCTTGGTGGGAAGTCCGCCTCTCTCTCTCTCTCTTTCTCTCTGCCCCTCCCCCATGCTTGGGCTATCTCTCTCTCTTTCAAATAAACAAAATCTTAAAAAAAAATTGAATAAAAAATTAGGGTGAGTAGAAAAAGATGAAATTGCGGCGTGGCACCAAATTACAAAAAAAAAAACTGCCTGGCTGTAGGTGGGCTTCACATCCAACTCTGCAACTTGAGATTTCTTATGTCCAAATTAAAAAAAATTTTTTAAAAAGGAGACAGCTATAAGAGTCACATTATTTATAAGATAAATGGAAACCAGATGTTCAGGAAGAGTAAAGCATTTTCTGGCTCTTAGACCTGAGAAATTTCTCCTTTGGGAGAAGGTAAGGTGGACAACATCCTCAAAAACAGCATTTTGTAATATAGTGGTGGTTTTCTTATACGTGTTTCTTGAGACATTCCTTTTTATTCAAGGTAGGGCCAGAATGCCAAAGAGCATTTCGGTGATTATATGGGGCCCAAACAATGTAGTCGAAACGCACAGCTCTGTCATGCTGTGTTGGATCCCGGGTTAAAGTTGAGATGCAAGGACCTCCGGCAGGAGACCGTATGGGCCCCGCTCCCAGTCTGCTTCTCTAGCAGACATTGCTAAGCAATCACGGCATTCTTTCTTGATGAACCTGGATATATCCTCTGTATCCTCAAATAACTGTGAAAGTCAGACTTGGGTGTAAGAGCTCTTTGTCATTTTGGAAATTCTAGAGGAAAAAACAGTCTGTATATCCTTTGACAATTTTCAGTCAGACCTTTGCTGAAAGATGGATCCATACCTATGCTCCAGCAAGAGGAAGGACTATAGGTATCTTAATTTTTTTACTAAAACCCAAGTCACATATTTAAAAATTCACTCGGATGGAAGAAAATCATATCCTTTTATGAGAATTGAGATGCCTGAAGATTCAGAGGAACAAACACCACACATTCGTCTGAACTTGTAGATAGGAGGGGATAATGACCTTGCAGCTGTTATCACTGTTATGACTTAGATGTTCTGTTCAAAAGCAGCCAGATGATTGTGGGGCTGGTTGTACAACTCTGAATACCTTAAAGACCATTGAATTCTACACTTTAAGTAGGTGACTTGTATGGGATGTGACTTACAGCTCAATAAAACTTAAAAAGTCAGAGATTTAGTTGTTCAGAAAGTATTTTATGATTTTTCCCCAAGAAAGCATAGGATGCCATCTTCTTTAGGCTCAGCATGTAAGTGCAAATTTGTGAATCACTGTTGTGAGAAAAGCTGCATGTGATTGCCACATGGTTGTTTGGTATCAGTCTGGCCAAGTATGTAAATAAATAGTTCTATTCCTGGAGTTCTCCTATTTGTAATATCCTTTTAGTATTTATAGTTCATACTTTTTTTTTTTAAGTGAGCCACCTAGGCACCCCTACCGTTCTTACATCTTTTTTTTTAAAGCTTCTATTTATTTGAGAGAGAGAGAGAGAATACACAAGCAAGGGGAGGGACAGAGGGCGAGGGAGAAGCAGGCTGCCCCCTGAGCAGGGAGCCCGATGTGGAGCTCAATCCCAGGACCGTGAGATCACGACTTGAGCCGAAGGCGGACGCTTAATTGACTGAGCCACCCAGGTGCCCCCATACATCTTTTAATCAAGTATATCCTATGCTTATATTCTCTCAAGTAATAGACAATAGTTTACATTTACAGAGAAATAACCTGAAGTGATTTCCTCAAGCTCTTAACACCCAGGAGTTATTAAAAATTCCAAATATAACCCCAGTGTCCTGACCTCTCTAATCATCCATATAAGGGCTAAGGTCGCTTTTATGGATACATTTCTTTCTCTCTTATATATTAATTAACAAACACATTTGAGGGGCGCCTGGGTGGCTCAGTTGGTTAAGCGACTGCCTTCGGCTCAGGTCATGATCCTGGAGTCCCGGGATCGAGTCCCACATCGGGCTCCCTGCTCAGCAGGGAGTCTGCGTCTCCCTCTGACCCTCCTCCCTCTCATGCTCTCTCTCTATCATTCTCTCTCTCTCTCTCAATAAATAAAAATCTTAAAAAAAAAACCAAAACAAAAAACAAACACATTTGATTTCCCTTTCTGTTATATACATTAGGGGAAAAGATTGCCGTGTAAAAAGTGGTCTGGGGCACCTGGGTGGCTCAGTCAGTTAAGCCTCTGACTCTTAATTTCAGCTCACGTCATGATCTTGGGGTCCTGAGATCAAGCCCCGCATCCAGCTCCACAGTCAGTGCAGAGTCTGCTTGAGATTCTCTCTTTCCCTCTCCCTTTGCCCCTCCCCTTGCTCATGCTCTTTCTCTCTCTCTGTTTCAAATAAATTAATTAAATTAAAAAAAAGTGGTCGTAAGACCAAGGTATTCATTGTATGGACTTTGAATTTATTGAATCATGAAAAATGAGGAAATTAATTAGAAATGAATTCATTTTTCATGTAAACTGTGTAAAGCTTTTGATTGTGATAATAGAGAACGCTTAGGACTGAAGAAAGGGCTTGGCTAATTTTATCCACCTCATTTTAAGGTTAATAAGCATTATTTGTTAGCAGATGACTCAGAGTCCAGCACAGCTTCTTTCTTTTTAATAGCTCTATTGAGGTATAATTCACACGCCATATAATCCATCCACTAAAGTGTACAATTTATTGATTTTTAATAAATTCACAGGGTTGTGCTACTGTCATTACAATCCAATTATAGAATATTTTCATCACCCCAGAAAGAAACCCCTTCTTTATCATCGGTCACTCCCCATTTTCTTCCAACCCCACCAGCTCTAGGCAACCACTAATATAACTTTTTGTCTCTATAGATTTGCCTGTTCTGGTCATTTCGTATAAATGGAATCATACAATATGCAGCACAGCTTATTTTAATATTTTAGGAAAATATGGAACATTTGCAGAAACAGCTTTAGTTGAGAAAACCCATTTCCTTTCATGTTTACATTCAAATTGGGGGATAGGCAGTTGATGCCATTTACATTGGGGGCAAAACTGAGATTGTGGTTGGTAGAAAAATCTACTTTGATTGCCCACGTTAGTTTGATCTTTTGGTTCTGTTAAATTGTCTAGAGCTCCTGTTTGGAAAGGGTTGTGTCTTCCGCCAGTGGGTGTCAGCATCTGACTAAAGATGATTCCTCCTAGAGCTGCTTCTATAAATAACCTTGAAGCCAGTCTCCAAAGGTCAATATCAACATTATTTGAATCCTGTGTTCATTTAAGTGATTACCTCAGAGTAAAAACTCGTAAGAAATCACATTAACCCTATGCTGTTTTTGCCATTAGATAGCTTTCAAAGATTAAGATTTTATCATCTTTCCTGAATTTAAACTCTGATTTTTAAAAATGGATTTACTTGGAATCATCCACTTTGAGAGTTCCATGACAGAGCCTTGTGTTCTTACTTGGAATCATCCACTTTGAGAGTTCCATGACAGAGCCTTGTGTTCTGAAGACTTGACTGAGGAGGAATGGTTTTGAATTTTTTTACGATAACATTTTAATGCCTCCTGCTAGCAAATATAGAGATGTTAAGAAGTGGTGCTCTGATTAGCCTTGTCATTTGATTAGCCTTGTCATGGGTAATCAATTGCACTAGGCAATTAAATGCTGAAACATTAGTTTGTTTAGCAAGTTTTATGCTATGCTGACTCCTTTCCATCTCCGATTCTTGTTGTAGGATATCTCCTAGGTAGTGAAGATTACTATTCCCATGAGCGCTGTACATTAATTGATGCTCTAAATGTCACACGATGTGCTCTTGATTTTCGAGATGGTGAAGAAGTTGCAACAGGATATAAAAATATATATTCAACAAACATATTTACCGAAAGAGCTACAGCCCTCATAACTAACCATCCACCAGAGAAGGTAAGTCTTGCTTTTTTATTGATATCAAAGTTGTGTTAAGATAGCATCTCTTCAGGTGAGTATAGGAAAAAGCTGCTTGTTTGGGAAAAAAAATCTAATAAATTCTAGGGGAGTTGTTTTTAAATTTTGGAGTGTATCGGTATCTGCCTGGGGAAGTTGATAAAAATAGAAATTCCTGGAGCCCCTCTTTAAAAGTCTGATTCCTTAGGTCTGGGAGAAATCCATATATCAGCATTTTATTTTATTTATTAATTAATTTTCATTTTCATTTATTTTTAACGTGGGGCTTGAATTCACGACCCTGAGATCAAGACATGAGCTGAGATCAAGAGTCAGATGCTTTACCGACTGAGCCACCCGGGCGCTCCCATACATCAGCATTTTAAAGAAACTCCTCAAGGGTGATTCTGACACCAAGGGTCCCTAGATGACACTTTGAGGAATACTGTGTCGGAAGTGTTTTAGTAGATACGTAGTTTTATTATTTTGGTGTATTATGTGCATGTGCTGTAAGCAATTAGTACATTGACTTTTTTAAAATGATAGACCTGTGTACAAGATGAGGCTGTAGTATGGCAAACTTTGTGTTAAGAGATCGACAAACCTTGGGTTCAGGGCAAGTCCTCTTTGTATTTGGCCTCCCAAGGTTATTTTGGCTATTCTAGATATTTTGCATTCTCAATTTTAGAATCACCTGGTCAATTTCTAGCAAAAAGTTCCTGCTTGGATTTGGATTTCATTGCATCTGTAGACCAACATGGGGAGAATGAATGTCTTAACAGTATTAAGTCTTTCGCTCCATATACATGGTATACCGATGAACCTGTTTTTCACATTTACTACATTGAAGCCATTGTGTATGTCATGTACTAAAATCTTAAGACTTATCTAAAGGTAAAAATAGAAAAGTGTGAATTGCCTTAAACGTTTTTGTTGTTGTTGTTAACCTAGAGTTAGCTTCATAAGCTAACTTCTTTGAATATACCTTTGAAATTGGGTCACAGGTTCGTGTTGTCAGATACAGGGCCCAAAATGTGGCTTCAATGACTTACATTAGCACACCGATGAAATTAGTCCTTCAGTAAGACCCTGATATAGCAAATTACAGAATGTGCAGTATTATCTGGTGCTCCCAATTTTCTGCACTTTGCTTCTTTGACAATTACTGAATAGCCTCAGGGCAGATCACAACTTGGATTTAGGTTTATATACCTGCTCAGAGGTGGTACCTGGCAGCTGACTCCCTTTTGACATAGTTTCTTCCTGGCTCTGCCTATTCTAATTCAGTATTGGGGGTCTTCCCTGGTATCTGTCCTCAGTTTTGCCCCACCTTGGGCTTTTTATCACTCTCAAAGCTGACATATTGGAGTAGCCATGCTTCCTGTGGAGCTTGGAAGATCAGAAAGTTCTCTTACGTATGTGGACATACACAGGTTTTAAATCTAGATCTAAACTGGGGCATCTGGGTGGCTCAGTCGGTTAAGTGTCTGCCTTAATAGGGTTCTGGGGTCGAGCCCCGTGTCGGGCTCCCTGCTCAGCGGGGAGTCTGCTTCTCCCTCTCCCTCTGCCTCTCCCCCTGCTTGTGTGCATGTGCTCTCTCTCTCTCAAATAATTAAATAAAATCTTAAAAAAAAATGTCAATCTGAACCAATTTTCAGAGAGCTGGGATAACTGCTAGGTAATTGGAAGGTTCTCAGTTTTCTTCTGTATGCTTGGTGTTTTATAGATAGTGCTAAAAGCCCAAAGAACAAGGTAAGGTCTTAAGGGAATTGTGGTTCTTGTCCTGTCCTTTGAGTTAGGCAGCCTTTTATAGATAAGCAAACAAGAAACTTGTTCAAGGTCACAGAGCTACTGAGAGTCCAAACCAGAATTTAAACCCACACTGTTTGACTCCAGAGCTCAGTGCACTCAACAGGCGTCCCGAGTTCACAGCTCATATCTAAGACTAGAGGTTATTAGCCCTGGTGTATGATTCAGCTTGATGGTTCCAATCTTGACAGTATATTGGACTCATCTGGAAAGCTTGTAACAAAGACCAATAACAAATATTGTGACTTATTGGTGCTTGGTGGGAGGGTGTCATTGGTATTTAATTACCCCTCTGCCCCTCCCTCCCTCCCACCGGTGATTCTGATTGTGCAGCCACTGTTGAGTCCCCTCAAACACAGGGGACAAGCTCAAGCCAACTGCCTTTTACAGGCTTACAGTCTAACACTACCTTAATCATGCAACAACTATAATATGCCTATAGTAAAAATGAGTTCCCATTAGGCAGCAATGGAGTAGTCTCTCACAGTGCCCGTAACATTAAGCAGATAAGAGGAAGCAGCTGGGTGAAATAGTTCTTTGTGGGTGGGCTGCCTTATCTGGTGTGGTGCGGAAAGCACGGAACTGAGGGAAATGAGTCCCCAAGAGCTCGCAAGCCATCCAAACTTGTGTTAGTAATATAGTGCTGCTCACTGGTAGCATTATGGGAATTGCCAGATGAGAGGATGGGCATTTTCTGACAGTGTCTGAAATATTGTGAAGCAGTGTCCAGCATTCCTAACTTCCTCAAGGTCAAGTTTCAAGCGTAGACATAAATGAATGAAATAATCAGTACCGAGGAACAGCCCCAGAATGTTTGTTTAAGACAGCAAATGCAGACGTTTACATTTTTAGTTCTCAGTAAGATGATGCATCACATAGTTCCAGGAGCTGCACTTTTCATCATTTTATCCCAATGTTGAATCTAATTCTGTGCTAATTTCTTAGATGCTATATATAGACTATAACATAGGCAACTTGTCTAAGATGGAAATCATTAAAGAAATACACACGAAGTAGCCACAAGCCATCTTAAAAATGTGCCTATTTGAAAGCACTTGAGGGGGAAAAGAGCATATGGAGCTGTTTTGTAACAGAAACACAGTTGGTGCTGGATTCAGGGAGATACTGCCAATAGCCACTGCCCATGTGTTGGGAAGGAATGTCTTTTTTTCTCCAGGATAATTCCCTTAGTACTAACACTACAGTTTAAAAGCAACATGTCCATAACATATCGTTCAGTTAAAAATAGTCCACCCCCAACACTTGGCAAAATAAAAACAAAGGTTTTCTCATAAACCTAATCTACTAGAAGCTTCTTAAAGCAAATGTGAATTTCTAGCAGTAGACACTTTTTCCTGACACAGGTTGGAAAGAAATGTCTTAATTTGAAAGTCAACAATAGAGCAATAATTTAAAAATGCATCCTATATTTTTTTTAATTTATACTTTAAATTAGGAAAATATGCTAATGAAATGAAAGTAAGGCTTTCTTCCTCACTGGAATCAGGTTTCTTAGCATGGTGAGGATATTTAGAGTAGCTATCTTAGGAGTCGTATGGCATAAAAGAAAGGGAAAAGAATTCTTAGTGTCTTATCAGTATGCTAATAAGTTTAGGTGACAATGTCATAGTTTTGTGTAATACTTAAACATTTGGTCACGATTCACATCTAGGATTCCGTTTTATATTCGTAAGGAACCTGAAAGGGTTATAGTTAGTGTTGTTGTCAAGTCGGCCGCTATAACTGGTTTGGTCGCAGCAGGGACCTGGACCCAAGAAGGAGCAAGGGAAAGATCAGGGTCCCGCACAAACCTGGAGGTCCATGGAGATCAAAATCAGCTCAGGACAACCGTGTTTTGAATGATATCTGTAAGGTCAGAATGCGCCCGCAGGTCTCCAAAGGCCAACGCATGACTGGGCTGGAACTCAAGTCCGTAGACAGCATGGTAATACTGAGTCTGTCCCTAGGATGGCGGCTGCTTGCTTTAGGCTAACAGTGAGCTGACCCCACGTAGGTAGGTGTGGGGAGATTGACTATGTCTGTTCCCTGGGGCTGGGGGGGAGGGTGTCTTACAGCAGGTGGTTGCAGGCAGGGTCCCGATTATAGTTAGAAAACCTTGGAGCCCTAGTTAATTATTCTTTCCCCTAGGCCACCAGGTAGTACAAATAACAATACCCTGTTAATTTTTTTTTTCATTTAAAAATAGTATTGAAATGTTTTATACCTAGCGCTGTGGGAAATGAGTTGTTTCATCGATAAAGTTTACCTTGTGAGTGTTGAAACTTTCCTTTTACAATATCGGATGGAAATACTCTCAGTTGTGTTGCTTTGGGCCTCACCTTATTAAAAGGGCTGCACTATACATCATTCTGCCTCTTTCTGGTGAGCCAGAGATGTATTGATGTGTGTGTCTGTCCACCCATGCACTGCATGGCCCTCGATTACTGCTGGTGACATGGCGGGGGGGGGGAAGATAGCTTGTTTTGTTCGAGGAACACCTTTATCTTTACTTGTAGGTTTCTAGGACGTGGTTGGTGGCAGTGCGAGGCCCTTGCCTGGCCTGAGACAGTCACAGTCCTCATCCGTCAGAGGTGCTTTTCACTGCCTCTTCTCAGCTGTGCTCCTTCTGTTTGAACCTAAAGGAGTCTGACCCCTGGAAAAATGGGGGTATGGCTACAGTTTTATAACTTTGACCCCTCAAGAGTAATGGTCATGTCTTTAGCCCCCTACAGAATAATTATGGGAAAGGTTTTCAGGTAATGTTTTTCTGTATTTAAGAAAGTGAGTAGAATGATTTCCAAACTGAATATTTGTGGGTTTTTTTTTTAAAGATTTTATTTATTTATTTGATACACAGAATGAGAGAGAGAGAGTATGTGAGCACACAAGCAGGGGGAGCAGCAGAGGGAGAGAGAGAAGCAGGCTTTCTGCTAGCAGGAGCCCAATGTGGGACTTGATCCCAGGACCCTGAGATCATGACCTGAACCAAGGTAGACGCTTAACGACTGAGGCACCCAGGAGCCCCCATACTGAATATCTGTAAGACTCTCTAATGATGGTCTGAGAACTCTCCCACACCACCCTCCCTGGCCATCACCTCTGGAGATCACGTGCGGGTTGGGAATAACCTGCCGTCTTTCTCCTTTCTCTCCTTCACCGTGGGCTTTGCCATGTTGCCGCTAATGACCTGGATGAACGCATCTTCTCCTGAAGCAGTGAGCTCCTTCTCTCCTTCCTCCGCGCCTGCCCAGAGAAGCCAGCCCAGGGTCATAAACTCTGGTGTTTACAGGGGCCAGGCTGCTGACCTAAATAAGTGAAGCCCCTCAGGTAGAACAGTAGGGAGGCTCTAGAAATTGGAGAGCACTTGAGAGTGAGGCCTCTATTTCATGCTCCAGCCATTTATTACCCGATGGAGTATGGGCATGGAGTTGTCGGAGTTCTGATTCTTCAAGAAAAATTTTTTTAAAAGCCACAGAGTTTTATGTGATATTTCCCGATTTAAAAAACTTTATGTGCAAGTTGAATCATTACTTGACTAACAGACTTTCGTCCACCATGTCCTTTTCACAGCCCCCTTCTGGAACAGTCACCTTGTTAATTTTATTTTTGAAAATTCCTTTCCTGCTCTGCCCTTTCACCTCTGACTTTCCTAGTCTATCCCTGCCATTCTGTTTTTGTAAGTGGCTACACTTGCCTTCTGAGTGATCGAAAGAAACTTTTACATCTTCTCTTCCAAAATAAAAGTAACAAGCTGACTGTGATACTTGAGACTAGAACAGCAGACAGGTTTCACTTTAAATTTGTCTTTTTTTTTCTCTTTTTTTTTCTTTTTTTGCACAGGGTATGGCTTGAATTAGTTTTGTTTTTCTTAACTTTAAATATATATATGAAAATATATATTAAAATGTTCTCTAAATAAAAAAAAAACTTTATGTGCGCTGCAAATTGTGGTAGCCTTCTGATATTTAATCCTGTCCCCATCCAGACCGTGGTGGTCTGGGGGGGCGGGGGGGCGGGGGGTTGTTGGTTTGATCTAGTGCTGAAGACCGGAATGGCTGCTCCCACAGCAGACCCTCACACTCACCGCTGGGCCACCGATGCCCGTGCACATCCATCCCCGCCCCCCTGCCCCCACCAAGGCGTCTCAGCCCAGGCTCCTTTCTCAGCACCGTGCAGGGCATGTGCTGGGTGGGGTTCCCTGCACTGTGGTCTGGGGGAACTCAGAAGTTTTGCTCTATGTGTGGCTGGAGTAGAGACGGTGTGTGTTGAAGGGGAGTGGAGGTAGAGCTAAAGCAGTGTCCAAGATTGTAGCACTGACCTTTGGAGTTGCAATTTGGAATGCTTTCCTGTGGACAGGATGTACAAATGAAGCCTAGGTTCTAGTTATCATTCCATCACCTAACCTCCTTCGTAAAATAGGTTTTCAAGTGATGACTTTGATATTTAACAGCTATTTTTATCATTTTGATTTTCCAAGTTCTAAAGATCTGAACTAAAAATAATCTTTTGGGTATCTTTTTAAGCTCTCTCTGTGTATATTCCTGACTCTGTCTAGCAAGGTGTATGATACAGAATTTTTAAAAAATTATCAACAATAATGAAGAATGAAATATGAGCCACCCCCTGCAGTCCTCTTTCTAACTTTTCCCCGTTCCTTTATGAGATTTAAATGCCTCAAATACTTTAACAGAATTGTATTATTATTCTTGGATTGAACCGTTGCTATCTCTTTGAGAGTTTTCAACTCATTAAGGAATTCTGTAGGAGCGCAATGAAGAGAGTGCTTTCAGAAAGGCTCATTAAAAAAGGAGAGGCTGACCTGGAATACCCCTAATGTTAAATGCTATAAATTGGTGTAAAAGGTAAAATAGAATCAGCGTATCACACTCCTTAGTTTCCAGGAATTAAATTGGCGTTGTTTGGTCCTCGATCAAAGACTAGCAAGGCATGGTGTTCACTTGTTTTCTCCTATGAAAAATCCTGAACTCTCTCCGAAAGTGTGGGAACTTTCTTTTCAGCAAAAGCAAAAAGCTAAAGCATCTATTGGTACATATCTGCACCATAATGGTGGAGTTTCCAATAGGAGATTGCTCTGCAATATGAACGTGGACAAATCCTATAACCTTTCTAAGCCCCAGTTAACTTATCTGTGAAATGGGTGTAACAGGCTGAATTTGAGTATTATATAAGACAGAATATGCAAATCATATCATAGTATCTAGCACATGAACAACATATAATATATAGTTGTTATTATTGGTATTATTATTATTTGTTTGGATCAGAGCCTTCTAGGCCATTTTAGAACTCAAGCTTTTCTTTTCAATTTTTCATCTTGTGTCTTTTGTTACATTTTTACTGTCTTTATTGATGCTCCTAGTTCACATGCCATAAAATTCACCCAATTAAAGTATACAATTCAATAGTAAATTCCAAGAGGTGTGCAACCATCATCACAGTCTAAATTTAAAACATTTTTAATGTTTTAAAGAAACCGTGTGCCTATTAGCAATCACTCACCATTCCTCTCCGCCCCCCCCAGCTCCCTATAGCCCTAGGCATCTTTTGAGTATCTTTTCATGAGCTTTTTGGCCGTTTGTATATCTTCTTTGAAGAAATGTCTATTCAAATTATTTTCCCATCTTGTAATTGGGTTAATTGTCTTTTGTTATTGAGTTGGAAGAGTTCTTTGTATATTCTGGATATAAGTCCCTTGTCAGACAAATGATTTACAAATATTTTCAAGCCATTCTGTGGCTTGTCTTGATATTACTTTTATTAACTGATAAATCTGGACCTCTCTTTTTGTATTTAATGCTTCCATACCCTCTTAACTGATTTGTACAAACTCTCTTTCCAGCCTCTGTTTCTCTACCTTGCTCTTCAGTCTGTCCACGAGCCCCTTCAGGTCCCTGAGGAATACCTGAAACCATATAACTTCATCCAAGATAAGAATAGGCATTATTATGCAGGAATGGTGTCTCTTATGGATGAAGCAGTGGGAAATGTCACGGCAGCCTTAAAAAGCCACGGACTCTGGAACAACACGGTGTTCATCTTCTCCACAGGTAAGTCTGTCAATAGGAAAATGATCTCTTGGCAAAGCCTAGGACGTGGTATTCAATACATGTAATAAAGACAAATTGGAGCATTTAGCAGTTCCTTATTAAAATAAATGTTAACTCTGCGAGTGGAGACATGATAATAATGGATGGAAAAATGTGTCTAAGGAAAAGAATTATGGGTTTTCCCCCTCTTCCTTCAGATATCAAAATATTCTGGCAGAATGCTTGAAAACCAGCTCTCACACCACCCAAGTGAGTATGAGCGGACATCACTCATACGCAGGGCAGGCGGGCAGTGAATTCCTAGAGTGGCTTTTTCTCCGCTGTCTGTGCGGCCCAGGTGTCCTCTGTGAATAGGACTTGTGCTGATGAGAGCAGTTCCCTATCAGTGTAGAGACAGAAATCTGACATTAAGAAGACAAAGGAGAAGTGGTGACATTTAAATCTAGGCTAGAGTGGCTAAGCATAGAATTTTTGTATTAAGATTGTTTTCTGACAATAAAATTCGTACACATCGATTAGAGAAAAAACAGAAAAGAAGGAGGAAAGAAAGTTTTTGAAAATAGTTTTCATTATGGCAGTGTCCTTCTGATTCCTCATCTGTTATACACATAATTTTTCTTCCGTCTGATTAGACATAGTTGGCTAAAACGTCCCTGCGATGGGCTATGGGTGTAGATCTTGGTTTACTCATTGTGCTGCGTACTCTGAGAGCACTTTTTTTTTTTAAAGATTTTATTTATTTATTTGAGAGAGAGAGAATGCGAGATAGAAAGCGCGAGAGGGAAGAGGGTCAGAGGGAGAAGCAGACTCCCCGCTGAGCAGGGATCCCGATGTGGGACTTGATCCTGGGACTCCAGGATCATGACCTGAGCCGAAGGCAGTCGCTTAACCAACTGAGCCACCCAGGCGCCCTCTGAGAGCACTTTGTATCTAAAAATGAGGATGCTTTTTTTAATGGGAAGCTTTCTTACATTATTCATTTCAGAATTGTTTGGCCCTCCATCCTACCTTTCTCCTATTCTCTCTTTACAGAACTTCTGTTATTTGGATAGTGAATTATCCTCTAATTTCCTTAGTTTTTTTCCTCTCCTGTTTATTTTTCTTCTACTATTTGGTAAATTTCTTTATCATTGTTTTGTAATCTTTTCTATTAAATTCATTTTAACTACCGTATTTTTTAATTATTCATTCTCCAAAGCCTGCGCTCTTAGCTCTTAAGTGTATGTGGGTGTGAGTGTGTATGTAAATATGTGTGTACACATATGTGTACTTGTATGTGTGTATATATGTGAGCGCATACATATACTTTTAAGCTCGCTTATACTCCCAACATTGCCTCTTTTCCTTCTAAGGTCATTTGTATCTTTTTTGGCCTTTCATGAAAAAGCTTTCTCAAATCCCTGGTGATCATTGACTAAAACTTAAAAATTGGATTGGAAACTCCAAGGGTGAGGACAGGACTTGTCTTCGGTGAATTTTACTGTAAAGTGACAACGTGAGGCGTGTGTGGTGACGTTTTGAGGACTTAATCTGGGTATTCTACTCATAGTTTGTGTTTTTTAAGAGTAGTTTTGTTTTGGGGTGCCTGGTGGCTGGTTAAGCGTCTGCTTTCAGCTCAGGTCATGATCCTAGCGTCCTGGGATCGAGTCTGGCGTTGGGCTCCCTGTTCAGGGGGGAAGTCTGCTTCTCCCTCTGCTGCTCCCCCTGCTTGTGCTCTCTGTGGCTTGCGCTCTCTCTCTCAAATAAATAAATAACACCTTAAAAAAAGGAGTAGTTTTGTTTTGCTTTTAATTAGGCATTGTTATTGAATTTAGCATTCATTGAATACTTACTGTGTGTAGGATAGAGTTCAAAGTGCTTTACATGACTTAGCTCAGTTAATTCTCACAATAATATCTGTGGACTACTATTATCCCATCGTGCAGATATGAGAACTGTGGCGCAAAGAGGCTAAGTAACTTGTCCAAGTCCACACAGCCAGGCAGAGTCAGGCAGCAGCCTTTCTGGTTCCAATGCCATCTTCTGAGATGATGCCAAGGATGACCTGGATGTTCTTATTGGACCTTATGATTTAGCAGAGTTTGCCGCCATATTGCTCTGTTGAGGAGCCTGGGCATAGCCAGGAGAGGCATTCACCCCGAGCAGCATTGTTTAGTTGCTTCACTGTGATACAAACACTCCAATTTTCTAAGCATGCCCTGCTGTGAAACGGGTTGAATGTAAGATAACGTGTCCCCCTCCAACCCCGCAAAGTTCCCCTCTTCCGAAGAAACAGAGACATCTTACGCTTGAGTCCTTTCAAGATCTCTCTGATTCTGAGAGTCTTCTCAATTTACTTTATTTTGAACAGCCTGGTAAAGCACTTTAATCAGGTCTGGAATTGAATGCTTATAGAGGTCACTAGAAAGAATCAATAAAAAAGGAGGCCAAGACATTTAATACTGATTTAGTAATTATTCCTGGGAAATGACCTCACAGTTGCAAGAATTGAAAGTTGTTAGTTTATAAAGCAGGCCTTTGTTGTAGAGATCACAATTTTGCAATTTAAGGATAAATGATTTCCTGAAAGGAAAATGTATCCTATGTAGACTGCAAAGTGCTCAGGCAGGAATGAACATGGTACCTCTGGAAAACTGTTAAATATCTCAGAGTGCCTCCTGTGACAATGGTTATTGCTGTCAAGGATGCATGGGAAGAGGTGCAATAATAGGTTTTCATGATATGTGAGAGTTGGAAGGAAGCAATATTTTAAGATCTTTTATTATATGAGTTCAAATGTGTTTATATAACCGTATTTTAAATAGTTGACTGTTTCATAAACATCCATAATGTATTATTTATTCAAGCTGTCAAAAATAATTTTTGAAGCTTCGCATTGAGGTAATGGGGATTACCTTACAATAAGGCTGCCTTACAGTCTAACACTATGATATATTAATAGGTACATTAATCTGGGACCATCTTTCCTTTGTTGGGCTAAATCCCATTTGATCATGTGTGTGTATATATTTTATACTACTGGATTCCGTTTGCTAGGGTTTTATTTAGGACTTTTGTCTCGCCCCAGAAGTGAAAGTGGGGTTGGTGGCTCCTTTTCTCCCTGTCAGCTCTGTCATTTTGGTTATCCTCACTTCATAAAATGGTTGGGATGGCTTCTCCTTCCTTTCTCTATGCTCTGGAACAGTTTACAGGTTGTTTGAAAGATCTTTCTCGTTGAGCTGGTCCCTGGGACCTTTTTTGGAGGATTTTTCTTTTTTAATTATCTCCATAGTTTAAATTTTTTGCTGAGTTATATCTAAGTGTAGGTCTTTAAAATATTTGACAATTAATTCTGACTCCTCTGTATGAGCCCTTTGATCTGCCTGCTGAGATTATTTTTTACTCTGGAAGTTTTCCTTGTACATATTTTAGCTTATTGCTTTAGTTCTGCTCGATTTAGTTCTCAAAAATAGCTTTAATTAATAGGTTGAATCGCTGATTCAGCTTCTCTCTCATTATTTTCAGTTCTCTGTCCTTTTTCCCAGTCTTCTGGATCTCCTCTGCGTTATCAGTTAGACATTTTTGCAACTTGGCTTATGTTCTTTAGGATCTCCGGTGTTGATTATTATTGATTGTATTTTTACTTTCTTGCAATCCTTCCTTTGCCTCAATCAGTTCCCTTTTCTTCCACGCTTGTTAGTAATAATAATAATAATAATGACTACTGCTTGTTAAGTATTTACTGCATACCCAGGCCCTGTTCTAGAGCCTTCCCTATACTTTCTCATTATTGGTCATGTTGTTAACATTAAAGCACAAAGCGACCTTGTGAAATAGGTTTCTTTATCCCCTTTTTATAAGTGAAGAAACCAGAACTTTAAAGAAGTTAAGTGATTTGCCCAAGGCTACTCTTATGGTCTGAATGTGTTCATCCACATTACGCACGTGGTGGTTAGAAGGTGGGGCTTTGGGAGGTGATTAGGTTACGAGGTAGAGTCCTCGTTAATGGGATCCGTGCTTTTGTAAGTCACTCCAGAGATCCCTAGCGTCTTCCTCCATTTGAGGACACAGCAAGAGGACACCGGCTGTGCACCACCAAGTGGGCCCTCATCAGAAGGTGACCACGTGGGTGCTCAATCTTGGTCTTCCCAGCTTCCAGAACTGAGAAATAAATTTCTGTTGTTTATAAGCCACCCAGTCAGTGGTATTTTGTTAGAGCAGCCCGAATGGACTGACAAAGGGAAGAGCCAGAATTTAAGTGCAGATCTACTTGAGGTCGATACCTATTAGCCATAATCAACTGGGCTTTTGCATCTCATCTTTTCCTTTTTAGCTCATCCCACTGTCCCTTATCTCTACTTTTGGCTTTCTACATTTCTGTTCATAGAACCTGTGCTTCTCTTGAATCTTTCTGAAGAGACCTCTGCTAAAATCTTCATTTTCATTATAAATCATTAGCAGCTATATATTCTTCCTCTGAGTATAAGCAATGACGGATCTGTCCACACAGAGTACATGGCCATCTCTTGACCTCTGATCACGGTTCCCTGCTTAATTTCTTCTCAAACCTGTCGTTTGAGGTCAGGTTGATGTGCACGGCTTCTTCAGTTCCCAGTGGCCTTAGGCATTGAGTGTTCTACACTCCAGTGAATCTGATTGACATACTTGACATTTTCCTCCTTTTTGACTACCTGGTTCTTGGAAATGCTAGAAGAACCCCAGCATGCACAGCTACCAGACTCTTCCTACCTCCATACCTTCAGGGTTTTACTTCAGGGGCATTTCCCAGGATACAGTGTGCCCCACTGTCAGACCCTTTTCTTCTCCTACTCATTGTTTTCTGGGAGATGTGATCTCTAACTGCATATAGAAAGCGGGGGAGGTAATATAATTCTGTGGTCATTTCAAAAATTAGCACTGTTCCGTCCCAGGCTGCTGTCCTGCTTCTTTTCAGGTGAGTGGGGTTGCTCTGTATCATGAGGCAAATGGGAGTTGCCAGCCCTTGTTTCTTCAACCCAGCT